CAAAAAAAAAAAAAAAAAAAAGATTACCAAAGCTGAAGTAAAAAAGAATGATCTACGAAATGTAGCCAAGTAAATTATATTTAATAAAAACCAACTCTTGATATACACTGGAAAATAGCCACTTTTTCCCCCCAGTAATATCTTAACTCAAGTTTATCCCAAAATAAGCAGTGAAAGGCAGCTTAGTGGCCACGAACAAAGGCTATAGAATTTGACCTGATCTCTAATCCTGCTAGCTCTGTGACCTTGCACGAATTATTTCATCTTGTTAAGCCTGAATTTCCTTATATGCAAATAGAGATAACATTCATTCAGAATTGCTGGATAATTAAATAGGCTGAGGAATACAACACTGTACTCCTCATGGTAACCAAATAATAAACACCGGCTATTATGAATGAGGTTTCGTTATTGTTGTTTTCATTTTTTTAAATTCAGGAATGAGGCTATAGAATGAAAATATCAAGAAATTAGCAAGATTGGGGCCAGTAGGTGGCGTGGTGGTTAAGGGCTCTGGACTCCCACATGGCCGACCACGGTTCAAGTCCAGGACCTGGCAGCTTGATTTCTCACCTTCTGTTTTCCCTTCCTCCTCCCTTCCCTCCCTTCCCCCTTCTCCTCTCTCTCTCTCTTGCTCGCTCTGTCCCTCTCTGGTCAAATTAAAATAAAATAAGAAGTAAATGAGTAGAGTTAAAAAGAAAAGAAAGAAAGTAGCAAGATTAAAATGTACACTGGCCTAACACCTAGAAGGCAGCCATGTGGTTTAAATTTGGATCGATGCTGCTTAATAACGGAAAATACACTCCACTGACATTTCTGTAGAGACCAGGAGAACCATGCAATGTGTTTCAAGTTCGTTTTAATGCATTTTCCCCAATTCTCCATAAGGCAAATTCAGTCATTTAAAAGCACATTTTAACATACATTAACAATAACAAGAAAAACAGACACCACAAACACCGGAAAAACTAGTTCACATCAATTCTGAAAGCCTAGAGCTTGCTGATTCGTACACAGAATAAAGAAAAAGGAGCCTGCCAAAAAGCCCAAGCTGTAAGATTCTATTTAAGCCTTCTAAATTAGCTTTTTAATTGTCAAAGTTAAAGTATAAAAAAATATGCAACCAAAGACCATCTTGGACTAGACTCCGCTGTGATGGGCGGGACATTGTTCTGCATTATTACGAAGGCTGCTCTATTACACCCGCGTATGAACCCACAGAGAAAGAAATGCTCATTTTAAAAATGAGGACAGTGATTCTGAATATCAAATGAAAATACAAATCACTAAGCTAAAAATTTAAAAAGAGAGAGAGAGAAACACAAAGCAAGGTTCCACTAATGCTCACCCCTGAAGCCTCCCCAATGCTAAGAGGCAGCTCTGCTCTGCTCTGCAATGCATTACTCTAACCTTCGGGAGGAAGATTCAACCACAGGAAAGTGTTCCTTATACAAAGCAAGGCTTGAAATGAGGCAATTCAAACACAAAGCAAAAAACAGACCATGTATAATTTAAAGAACACATCCAATTAGCAGACTTTTGCTTCACTGAGGAAAAAAGGAAAACTGGCTAAAATTTATGAAATGTATACATTTGTACCAGCATGTATGTGTACATGAATAGGTATTTATCTAAGCGCGTATGTATGTAGCTTGAACTTCTATGTCATGAGAAAAGTAATTTGCATGGTACACATTGTGTGTGGGGGGGGGTACACACATACATAGAGAAATAACACACAGAGACACTATACAATGTATACTGTGCAATCTACCACTTTCTTCACGACAAAGACCTTAATGTTTGACTTTCATAAACCACTACACCATATAATAAGCCAACGGATACCAAACAAAACATGATGCAATTTGGCACAATCACATCCCATTACGGCTACAGCAGTCCTTACATTCCACGTCTGAGCATCCTTTCCAGCCGACAATGCAGCCGGATCTCGAAGGCATTATTAGCATTTCTCTTGTCTTATCTCAATGAACAGTCAAGGGTCAATCTTTCCAAAGAGGTATTATTTCCTACAAAGCAATTATCTTCTTTTTTTTAAGGATTAATATTTACTTATTACTTACTTACTTATTTATACGACAGACAGACTAACTGGCCGACCAACCAGCAAGGGACAGAGTTAGAGAGAGAGAGGAGTAAAGTGAGAAAGCAAGCTGCAAGATCTGGGACTTGAACCACAGTAGGCTATGAGGAAGTCCAGCGCCCTGAACCATTACGCCACCTGCCGGCCCCCAAAGCAATTATCTTCTAAGGACATATACAAGTATATGGGGAGGGGGGGAAATGGCCTGATAAAATCCTAACAGTAAAATGCTTATTTTGTGGAATGGAGTACAGTTGATGGGTTTAACTTTCAAACTGAGTTAAATTTTTGTAGTAATGATGTTATTTTCTTTGGCTAAATTTATTGAAAATTCTTTGGAATTTGTCAGAAGCCAGCCATAATTATTACTGACTGTTGTATGGAATCGATTTACTACAACGCAAAAATACCAGCTGTTACCGTATGACCTGAGAGGGATTACCAAATATTCTTAAAGCGAAGTTCAATCCATCTTTCCATAAAAAAGAGAAAGACCCAAACGCCAGGAACGTAACAGCAGTATCAAGTGCACCTGAAGCATTTACAATACCCAATAGAACTATTACAACCCTCCTTTAAAAAGGCTTATTTTTGAAATTTCATTATTCCAGTTGTACCTTGCTTCTATATATCACACTGTATCAGGTTCTTCTGGCATCGACCATGTGGAAACAGTGAACTATGCGAAGGTCTATAAGCTGAGGATGTTCCGTGTCTACCCACCCGATAACCATGAACGCTCCTGGGGCACTCGTGACATCTAGTGGTCAACCATGGAAGTGCAAGTGCTTGGAGCATAAAGCTTTTGAGCTTTCCGGAAAATTAACTTAATTCCCTGCAGAGAAACCATCATCTGCAAAATATTTTATTAATGTGAAAACACATACATAGTTAATGCAGATGAACAGAGATCAAGTAATTTGCAAACACGTTTCCTCTCTGCTGGGTAGGTATTCAAGAATATGTAAAATTTTTAATTAACTGTCATCATAACTAAACTATTTAAAAATTCTATTAACAGTCTATTGTTTCAAGAGTCAGTGACTGTGCTTGATAATACCATTCTTGATTATTTCACCAGATACAGTCTACACTTAAATTTTCAAGCTCTAACAGGCCAATGAAATAACACTAACAAGATTAACTTTAAACTTTTTTTTTTTTTAAATAAATCTCA